GTCGACATTACCATTCCTTATGACGAGAACCTCGTGAAAGCCGAAACAGATAAGTTGACAAAATATCTGGACCTGGCTCACGAGGTGACCGACATGTGGGGTGGTCTGCCGGCCGAAATTATTCCTGTGGTCGTCTCTGCGAACGGGTTAATCCCAGTCAGCCTCTCGGGTCATCTGAGGCGACTGGGACTCCGTGACGGATCGCTCCAAGCTCAAATGCAGAAGGCGGTGCTCCTCGATACCGCCCGCATCGTCCGCCGGTTTCTTTCCCTTTCTCCCTAACCCTCGGCCGTTTGGTCTCCCCTGCCGAGGGCTTCCATCTGGTTGGGTTTTTATATATTTATGTAATTTTTATGTATTTATTTTATTTTATTGATATTTATGTAAGTTTATCATTTTCATTTACAATTATATATTTATACAGCCCAACCAGATGAGAAAACTATACAAATACCCCATAATAATAATAATAATAATATTCCACAACTATCACACAACGCCATCTAGTCCCAAGCTAAGCAGAGCTTGTGTTATGGGTACTAGACAACTGATAAACATACTTATATATTTCTAAATACATAAATATTATAGATAAATTACACCCAGACACAGAACAAATGGTCGTGCTCATCACACAAACATTTGTCCTGGGTGGGAATCGAACCCACGACCTCCGGCATAGCAGTCAGGGTCACTAACCACTAGACCAACAGGCCTGTCTGACATTACAGGTGACATTTGACAATTAAGTTTGACACACCATAATGATATTTTTTTAGGTTAGCGATGCGTTCAGGAATTCTAAATTATTCAAAATTTTAAATCTTCAGAGCAGATGCAAGATTTAGTTGATATTGATTTCGCGGGTCCGCATTGTTTGCAAGTTCCCAAAGATTATGGGTTCATTGACATCGATGTTTGACATGTGTCAACATCGATGTTTTAATTTTTAACATCGAACATCCCTATTGTGATCTGTGTCAACTTGTGTTCTCTTCTCGGAGATAGTAAAGATTGCTAAAATTTATACACTTTGTAATATTTTTCAACTTTTTAAGACTGATACATTTAAACTTTTCTAACCGGAATGAGCGGTGTACAAACAGGTCAGTAATAATATCTTATTTTTATATATTTTTGGTAAGCTTATTTTTTATCAAAAAAATGTAATATTTAATTACTGCGATTAAATCTACTTGCATTAATGTATATATCAATTTATCCAATAAGATACCCTGAATGCTCCATTCATTTTCGTTATTATCAGGAACATCATTAGTCACCATTTTCCAAGAAGAAAAAGGTTTGTTTTGATAAATTTTAGTTCTATGATATTGTGAAGTATATTGCTAAACCATTTTAGCGAACAGTTACATTTAAATAAAATTGCAAAGTATATATTTAGTATTTTATTAGTTTTTGAATGTGATTGTTTCCATTACCTTGCTTACATTTTTGTAGATGTTATTCAGATATTTTCTCCAATGTACAATTTAAGTGTGAAGGTGTGAGCGCCTAAGATTGCTAAATGTAAACGCTTCAACTAGATTCTATTATCTTGTCTCAGTCTTGTACTGATTTGGAAGGTTAACATGACATAACAGCAAATATTCAAAAACACCTAATATACAATACAAAGTCCTCCACCCTACTTCTGACTGTGTCATTTATGTGGGTGGTATTTATAACTTATGAATATTTTGATAAAAATTGGCTAATGTTATGATGGTTATTGATCTAATTAAAAAGAACAAAATTTCTTTCTGAGAGTTTGCATGGCATGCACTTTAGTTATATGAAATAATGTACTCTTTGAGAAGAAAAATTCTATTATATTTTACGGGTCAACTTATAATCAATTTTAAGGTTCTAATTTTTATTATAGATAGAGATTATATATTGTTATATTATTGCGGAAACACATAGTTATGGAGATACTCATTTTTGGAATCATTTTTTATGTTAGTGAAACTTACAAATATATGGATTTAAAACACATTTGTGTTGTTTTAACATAAACTTACCCATGTATATGTGATCTACAAATGTTTTATGTTACTTAATACTTATAATATTTAAATTATAATTAGTATTTTTGTTAACAAATATATCAATATCAATGAAATAAGGCAAAAATACAACTACAGGGCATTAAATATGACTGACTGCTGAAAGATGTGAACCACTGCATTTGGTCTAATTGATACAACAAATGTTTAATATTGATTAGAATTTAAAGACTAGTCAAATATCAATAATCTTTAGTATGATTAAGATTGTATCATTCTATCACAAAATCTGTCAAAAAAAGATTCATTAAATATGTACAACTTATTTAATGAATCCTAGGCAATATCAGTATAGGCAATATTGATAATATTGTAATTATCTTCAATAATTGATATTTATCTTTTTAATATCCTATATGTTGTTGGAACTGTAACAAAAGTTCTAATGGTCTGGTAACATGATGAATTATATTTTTTTTGTATATCCATTAAACATCATAAGTAGTAAGAAAAATATAACCACTATTAACTTTGTCAAAAATAGGAAAGTACCTATTTTCATATAACTTACTGCTCTGTTGGTCTATGTTGGTTACTTTGGTTCTACTGTAAGTAACCGCATTTCGAATTTTATCACATAGATAAATTCCAAGTACAACCTTCTTCAAAGCTCACTGAGTAGCCTTTAGTTTCCTCATATGGCCATCAGTGAAGGACCATATCTCAGATCCATATGTCGTCACGGGTTCTATACACATGTTTTCAGGTTTTGGAAAATGTGTGTTGAGGAGATGTGTCATAATTTCCCGAACACTGCCCAGCCAAGTTGCATCTGTCGATTGATGTCTCTGTCGAAGTTGTACTTACCTAGTCGGACAATTTTCCCAACTGTTAAAGTCCACTGATGAACATGGGCCTCCCCATAGATTGCGAATAGGGGGGATATTTGCAATAGCAGCCGCACATGGCAAGCGGCTTGGCACTACATGGTGAGTTTGCCCTTACACTGCCATCAAAGTTGTTAACATAATTGTCTACATCTTCAATGGCAGTGTTCACAACTACTAGCATACCTACATAGGTGTAATTAACTACGGGCATAGGTGTGACATGGATGTTAGACGTAACCTTTGCTTTGTCAATATTCATTTTAAGACCTATCTTTTGGGAAACACTATTAAGGTGATCCAACATAGTGCTAAAATCCTCAAGCGATTTAAATCTTATCTAGGGATAAAACACCAAAACATGATTTCAAAGTTAGACACCATTCTTCATTTAGGTTCTATAGTATAGTTTCCATTGTTCATTACGGTTGGGCTTTTTGGTTTCGGTAAAGGTATCCGTTCTAAGATACCGGTTTAAAAATTCCAGAATTTCCAGGCTTTGTTTTTATATTATTACTTTGAACATAGACAAAATTTATTAATGCAGGATGTATTTTACCAACATCATTTTATGACAGTCAATGAAAACAAGCAAACAAGTACTTGTTTCACTTGTTTAGTGGTAAAATAAAAGTACCAGCACCAGTATACTCAATTAGGTTTTGGTTCTAATATTCTAATAACAGAACAGCTGAATACCCATTCATTACTGGTATTTTGGAACCTATTCAATCTCTGAAATTACCACATAAAAATTCTTATAAGCATTCAGATCCATTAAAGTAACTGTTATACTAAATTTCTTGTTATGTGGTTGATATAAATAAGTGCATCTTCTTTCATTTTTATTTTTTTCGACTTTTTCTTCCTAACATATTTTAAAATCAGCCTTGTTAAAGTTTTACCTTTAATATAAGGTTCCTCCAAATTCTACTGTATTCTAAACTCCAAAAAAACCTTTTTAAAATAAGAAATATATTGATAAAATATGAAACATTTTTCATTTTTACTATTTCGAAATTTGGGCTGAATTATCATCATTGATATTGATGATGATTCGTAAAATATATATTTTTTTTTATTACTCGCACTTAACCTATTTAATGAAACAATTTTTTTTACTTTTACTTCAAATTTCATTTATATAAAAAACCATTATAAGCTATTACTTTGTATAAACGTTTGAGAACCTAAAGAAGAATTCTAGCTATCAATTGACGCTGCTCCTTATTTTTCTTTATGTACAAATATTTTATTACCTTATATGTATGTCTTAGAATATGTACTAAATCATCAGACTTATTATGAAATAATTTAAGCAACCGCTTTTATAGAATGTCTAAATTTTGGGTTACGTAAGTAGCACTACTTAATAGTGAGTGAGTCATAGTGGCTTTGGTAATAAATGTTTTTTGTTTATTGGGTCGACAAGGCAAAGAAATGACGTAAGTCTGTGGTATGTTGGACCAGCTCTCGCGCTACCGCCGCTCACTTGCCTACGGCACTGTCAATAAACTTTGGCAAAACAAGGTGAGCTCGCTTTTTGGCTTTTTTTTTTGTTGGTTGACGTCGCGCGCTCAGATACCTGTATATGGTATTATCTCTCCCGCATACGGTCACGTTTACTACATTTCATTTAGATTATCATTTAATAAGTTGGATTTAGATTATTGGCATTACCGAAAAATATATTAAGAGGTCAAGATCATAATTTAATATAATTTCGCCAGATCGTAACTCGTGCAGTTGTCGGTGAAAGTGGCAAATACAAGCACTCAGGCAGCGGCGCGAGACGGGCCCGCGCGGTCGTGTTAGCTAGGTCCGACGTGGCGGAAGACTAGGAAAACGGACTATTTCTGTTGTCAGTGCTGCCAATCGTTTTTTTTTAAGTGTTCTGTGTATCTGTAATTGTTTAACCATGTTCCCTGTGAATATTCATACTCAATTTTGCTTTACATTTTATTAACAGCTTCCTAATGAATATCTCAATATTATTGCCAATGTGCATCAAACAAACTTTGTGGGTAAACACGTTGATTCGTTTTGTTGTTGCTATTGAAAGAATGATGGATATTCGTAGTAGAAGAGGAAGATAGATTGAGGTATGGCGAGCACCAGGGAGGGAAGTGCCGAGCCGGCGAGCTTGGAGTATATGGAGGATCCCTATTTTGTGCCGCCGGATGATGATTCGACCCCAAGTTTCGATGTGGCCGTTGATGAACTTGACGAGTTAGAGGAGCTGGCTAGCTGGCCGCGCGACTCCGAGGCCGAGGCCGACTGGCGTGCACTGCCTGACCTTGCAGACTCCGCTCTGTGCATCGAGACCGAATTCTATATGGACAATCGTCGTCGTAGACTTCGAATATTTAGGAAAAAAATACGTGAAGTACGTGTCACTTTTCAAGACCTCTCCAAACCGTATCTCGCCAAAGTTTCCAGTCATACGAACTACAAAAGGTTCCTAGGCATTACGCCTGGAGGTTAGTGCGAACATCTAGTGTAATTAACCTTTTCTGAATAAGTGTAATCATTACGCTTAGTTTTCAACCGACTTCAGAAAGAGGACGAGGTTCTAAATTCGATTGTATTTTTTATGTGTGTTACCTCAGAACTTTTTTCTAGGTGAACCGATTTTGATGATTCTTTATTTGAAAGCTGATGCTTCTCATGTGGTCCCATGTAAATTTGATCAAGATGTGACCAGTACTTCTTGAGTTATCCTTAATAATGTGTATTTAATTGACTTGGACTACATTGATGATGTTCTCATTTTATTTATATTGGAAGTCGGTTGTACGAATTTTTTTTAATTTTATCTCTTGTTGTATTGAACAATTCACATACATAAGTAATATCTCCATTCACAATTCATATCGTATTTAAATTATGTAATAACAAAACTCATTTCATATAAAAATTTAAATGCTTGGTCTAGCACAGTTTTTTCTTTTGTTATATTTTACCTATACAGATACATGTTATGAATAAATAGATCAAAGATACTGACCGCTATTCACTGTTCATTAGTATGAAGGCTGTGACAATTTTATTGTAAACAAAAAAAGATTACATAAATTCAGGCCTAAACTCCGATCCACTCTAACAACTACAATTAGTGGCTGTAATATACATAATCATAATTATATCCAAGTTTTACGTTAATTAGCATGAAAAATGAATAGGAAATTCTTACGGCTGTGGTTTGTGGTAAAATGTGAAAAATAATACTATTACGTACACTAAGGGGTGATGATTGTCCTATGTTGCCACACACGTCGATTTTTTGTTGGTTATTTATTACACACGTTTTTATTACGTGTTTATTTTATGGAGGTTACGATAGACGGTTTTGCGGGTACGATACCGAACTATAATCATTGTATAGTCCGATCAGAGAAAAATAAATTAAAATATATTTATTTTCTAATTATCAAATTAACATGAATATTAAAAAACGTAAGTCAAATTAATTTCGTTTGAGAACTGCAAAACTAATGGAATCATAATGTAGTTCAGTTTAACGAAGAGCTAAAAACAAGTATTAAAATTAAAAGTTTTGTACAACCAACTTCAATATAAATTATTAAGGATAACTCAAAAAGCACTGGTCAGACCTTGATAAAATTTATATAGGACCACATGAGAAGCACCAGCTTTCAAATAAAAAAGAATCATCAATATCGGTTCACCTAGAAAAAAGTTTTGAGGTATCAAATAAATAAAACTTACAGTCGAATTGAGTACTTCCTCCTTTTTAAAGTCGGTTAATAAGCTTCAGCGCATAGAGCCTTACATAGTTTACGTAAAAACAAGCTGAAGAAAAAAAAACAAATATAGGTATTCTATAGCAATCTTTCAACATTATGTATATACTAGCTATTGGAATTTTTCGCGCGGAACTCTAAAATAAAAGTAGCCTAAGTTACTCCTTATAACATCAGGTTTACAGGTTTTTGTGTGATGCGTGTTCAAGCTAAAACAGCTCGCAGATGGCACATTTTTTTCAGACTAACTTAACATTTTTCATTATATGTTGGCCAATTTACATATCTTTAGGAAATATAGTTCGTGTTATTCTGATGTATGAACTATATTATTGTAAAGTATCATTAAAATCCATTTATTAGTTTTTGCGTGAAAAAGTAACAAACATACATACATCCTCACAAACTTTCACATTTGTAATATTAGTAGGATTATAGTATTAGTAGGATTAGTAGGATATATTATAGGTTCTAATGTTGAAGTCATTAGACATTGCCACCTTCGTACAATCATATTGATCGTTTAATATAAATGTTACCGTTCTGGAAAGCTATGCTTATGAAAGTATCACTAGTCAACTACTATAAATAGACCTCCTCCCCCATAGATTGCCACAAAGTACGGTTCTGAGACCCCACCACCCATTGCGTATTTCATCAGGTTTTCACTTCATCTAATGAGGGTTGCCCAGTTACGATATTCAGTCAGTAGTCTTGTCATATGTATTAAAATAATTAGAAAATACAAGAGCAGGCTATTATGGACTTATGAGTGCTTGTAATTATTCCAATATTCAGCAAAAGACAATTTAAAAGTAATGCACTAAAACGACCGAAACGGGTCGGGTTTTTTTTATTATTTGTTTTATTTTAGACTTTTTAGTGTCCCGACACACTCTTATGAACTAAATTTCATAAGATAGCACGATGTGCGACACAAACATGACCCATTTTACGTTTTTTCAAAAACTTTAAACCAATTGATTATTCCTAATTAAATTTAAACATATAACTTATATATATTTTTGCAATTGCCTTTTAATTTTCTTTATTTTGGTACTCTACTGAAAAAGCCGCCATTTTGTCTATTTTTTTCAAAAAGCTATCTAAGAACACCTGGGTTTCTAAGACGAATAAAACGATACCTTAATTGTCGAAATCCATCCGTCCGTTTGGAAGATACGAGGTAATAAAGAAATTTACAAACATGCCAGATACGCGTGAAAAACATTTTAAGATCTCGTAACATTGTAATGCACAGGTTATAAGAAGTATATTATTGTGACGTGGCGTGTGCGTAACTGCGCGACTGCGTAAGAACATCCACTACTCATATCATTTCGTGGGTGCCGTAAGAGGCAACTGAGGAAAACTGAATCAATAGATTAGCAGCAACATCTTGCTAAGCTTGGCTACTGTAACAAATATCCCCCTATGAGGCAATCTATGTGAGAGGCCTATGTTCAGACGTCGAATTTGATAGGTTGTGATAATGATGATGAATAGTTAAGAAAATAAACCAGAAACGGTTAACTACTTATTAAAATGATTGCGGTGCGAAAGCAACACTATATAAAAAAAAAACGCAAGTTCATGCATTGGCATTACCTCAGACCAGCTGTTACATCTATCTTACTTTTGCTAATGTTATATAAATGAGAGAGACTTCTTTTCAAAATGAACATTTGTGAATAATTGTACAAATGTTTAAAATAATAAATCACGAACTTTGATCAAACTCTTGTTTACTTGATTTTTTCCTGCCTCCCTCTTGGTTATCTAAACTCCTGTTATTTTGAACTCTTAGTAAATTGAATTTTAGTCTGGTCCCTTGAGTTTCAAATTATCGAGAGTCGACGTTTCACAATCACACTATAGGTTGACTAAAACGTCTTGGAGGTGTTAATGTAATATGTTTCATAAACACTCACGCCTGTCACCAAGACGGGTAGGCAGAGACTACGGACTTTTATTTGGCAATATCTTGACACATCTATCTCGCCTCCTTTACATCCGTATACCACTACACATACATGCTCGTCGATTAAGGGTACTCTTAATCTGGCCGATCTTCAATATATCGCCAATTTGAAAAAGTTTCGTCTAGGACGTCCCTTCCCGACTCTGCCGTTCACTTCTGCAACACAAATTTGCTTTGTTGCCCTTTCCTCATTCATTCTTTCTATATCACAAACCACTGAAACACTCCTTTTTTAATTCTGGTCACAAAATCATCTAGCAAAGCACATTTTTCTCTTGTCACACAATTAATCACTCTGTCAATCAGATTCTGCCCTAATATACTCCTGACATTGATTGATTCTGATTGATTCTGATTTCCCACAATAGAGTGAAAAGCCCCATTTACTCTGTGCCCTGCGTTTACTCGTTGCTCTATATCCTTATCATATCCATCCCTGCTACCAACTCCCCTTTTATTCTTATTATCCCTTTCTAATCTTAATACGTTTCAGACCAAGATATCAGCCTTCTTGATCTGGAAAGTATTTTAAGAGTGATATTGTTTATCCAGTCACAACATACCTGCTTTATTTTCAATTGCGCGTATTACTTTTCCGCAATTCCACAAGTCTAAACTTTTTTACAATTCAATATAAATTAAGTTAATTACTAAATATGTTATTCAATACTTTTAGAGTTTGGGATGAACTTTGTTTTCCATCCATAAAAACAACAAGCTTAAAACTCTATTGATTTTTTATATAAAAATTATTTATGTGAAAGCTAAAATCGTGCTCCTTGACAAACACTAAGCAAACAGCTTTGATTGTAATCAAAGCCACATAGAGACGATGTCATATTGGAAGCTTTAACTGCGTCATGAGAACCAGAACACGTGTAGTGTGTTCTGGTTCTGAAAATAACAAGGTTAACATTTTAAAAAACAGTGCTTCGTTTTAATGACCAGATGAAGGTAAATTTTGTGCTATAAAGTTATTCACCCCCTATTCGCTTTTCTATAGTAGATAATTGCGATGTGGTGGCACCATCAGGGAATTAAAACTCTATTTCCAATCTATTATACGCAACCACGAACGTCAACCCAAAAAAAAAAAACAAATGGCGGAGTAATTTTCCAAATCCTAAATATGCAGACTGGGGACGGAAAGCGGCGTTTATTAGACATCTGCGTCTGGTACGGTGTTTATAATTCTCTGCTAAACGTTTGTGTTGTTATGTGGAAATTATTTTATTCGTTTCTGTTTTTGAAGTCGGCTTCTTAATTTTCATTAAAAGTTTAATTTTTGTATTTGCATAAGAACTAGCAAAGAATATAACGAAGCGTAAAAAGTTACTTCAATAATGTTTATAAAGTTTATCAATGTAATTCGTGTCCCAATCGCAAAGAATTTATTCATATTACAGTGCAACTGTTTTTATCTTAAAGATAATTTTATTGTTTTTATATTTATTTCTTTACCCAAATAAATTAAATAAGCAAGTGTGATTAAGATACGAATACCTATTTAATAATAAGGTTACTTAATAGTAATTGGTCATAAGAAATCATCTTATCAACTGGATATAGCGTTTCCAAGAATCTATAATTTGCCACGCAGAACTTTTTTTGTCCATACCTAAGACGATGGAGGGCGCAGTAAAATGCTCCTCCTTATCACCAGTTTGTGTCATATAGTTTCGCCTTTTTATATCCCACGCTTCGTAAGTGCCAGATTCTACTTTGTTAAAAATTAAGCTTCTAAAAAAATCTAAAAAAATCACATAAGTTTCAGAAATCGGTGCTAACCCATAGTCTATAAAACAATTGAATCTTCGACTTCACGAAGCTGTTATGTGGAAACTATTTTATTCTTTTTAGTTCTTTGAAGTATCCTTTTAGTTTTGATTAACAGTTCTATTCTATTTAATAAGAAAATATTAAAATCGGTTCACAATTGACGAAGATATCGTATAACATACCTACATACAAAAAAAAACATATTATAATAAATTTGAGAACTTTCTCTTTTTTATGAAGTTGACTAAAAATTAAGATTAGGAAAATTAGGATTGACATAGGGAGAATAAGTTTTTAACAAAACCACACCAAACCCTTTTGTTACAACTTTTCCTTCCTCGCGTATTTCAAGTTAAAAATAATATAAAACCGCGAAAGAATTTTTCAATTACAAATTTCAATAAGTACAATAATATAACCCAACGTTCTACTATATCCTCAATATTTCCCCTTACACCGCAGCATTTGAAATGAAAATAAACGCCTGTCAAATCAACCTTACATAGAGGTATCACTTACTCAAAATGGTCCACCGTACGCGTACTACTTAACTCCAAAACATAGCAAATTTTATTTTTGGATTCAACTGTTCATATTTTGCATTCAGTACCTAGGTAATACTGTACATCTAGTCAATTTTAAATTTCAATATATATTAAAATATGTTTCAGCCAATTTTAATTACTTACAATTTTACGGCTACCTAACATGGAACGTAGTTTTATCGTCATTTTATTACTAATTAATAGTTTCACCAATGAAAGAAAATTTCAATTAAACTAGACCAAAGTTGATAACTATTTTACAATCTAACAAAATATTATATTGTACACGTTTTATATTAGTTGGACTATTATGTATCTATGTAGGTATGTAATGGAATTTTGTTATTAAGTTTTCTCCCACTTCCAGATATTTGATTTATCTAAAATTTTGTCTAAGAATAAAAAACCGATGACGATACAATAATGACTATCACTTAGTATTCTGACTAAGATCATCACAGCTCATAATCAATGTGTATTGTTTAAGTTTTGTAATACTCTGTTATTTGAATTCATTTGATGGAGCTAAAATTTTTAAATGATAAAAATTTGTACGTCGTGTAGGTGGAAGAGAATCCACCATCTTATCATCCCGTGTTCCCGTGGGTGTTGTATCACTTATCTAGCGTGGTAATTATAACAAAATCCCCTTATAAGGCAATTTAATGGGGAGGGATGTGTCCAGCAGCAGACTGATCCTGATAGGCTGTTATGACTGATGTGTACCTATATTATATAATTTATAATTTTTTTTGATTACCGAGCACTAAATAAGATTTTTACTTTGTCGGCCGGTAACAGTCCACTTCTGGATATAGGCATCTTCCATTGCAGGAAGCGTATGCCATGCCTATGATGAATTCACAGTATGTCTCGTAGTGACACTCCTCCACATCGCTGTTCTGTATTTTACACTTGACATACACAACATGGTATACCGCCATCTTCTGGAGTCGAGGTTTTTCTGGCATTTCCCACAGTCGCCTATTACGAAATTCACAATACGAAATGGTTGACGGATCCTCTCACTCCGCCCACAATACGGCAAGCAAATTAATTAGATTATTAAATTAAAACGGCACTAATCGGGGATAGGTCTTCACTTCGTCGAGCTATTCGTATATTCGTGCGGAACGTTCATGTTTAACACACAACACAAGGTGGTTTTTAGGGCGCAACGAACCGCCATTCTGTTCGACGCGGATGCGTAATTCGGATTCGGTAATAGCACAATAAATAATAGTACAAGTAATAGATAATAATTTATCAGTTTTTTACTTTACGTAAAGGATATAATATACAATAATTCTTTTAAAACGATAATATGGGTAAATAGTTTAGAAAATCCAAAAGCGCACGCCTCGAGCGTTTCATTTAATTTTGATGAAAATAATAAATTGTATTCCATATTTTTAAAATTATATTTACGTGTTTTAAATTTAGAGCACTATTATTTAAACAACTAGTATCATCTACAGGGAAAAGAGTTAATAAGTTTTTCCAAAGAAAGTCGGTGACACAAAGTATAAAATCTTATTAATTAGAGTGTTTTCTTGATATACGGCTACACATATTATCGTATAAATGCAATATGGTTATGATGGAGGCATTTTAAGATCACAAAATTGCTTGACCTTGACGTGGCGAGAGTAAATCACTACCTAATAACGCTTCGCGTTATGAGGCGTGCAATGATATTTGTTAAATCAATGCATTCATTGTGCCTGTTTTATCATGCTCTTGAATCGCATGAAGTGATTAAACCAACAGGAGCCTGGCGCTGGGACCCTGGTGGTAAGCTACTAAATGCACATGATCATTAAAACTAAATAAATACTTGGCTCCCTTTTCATTTATCATTTATATTTTCATCCCTTTACATTCAAATTCTGCTTAGCATAATGGTTGACTGGGAGAGAATGCCTTAAGGCATTAAGTCCGCCATGTGTACGATTTTTCTTTTGTGCATAAAAGTTTAAATAAATAAAGAACAATGGCAGACTTTCATACATAAAATTAGTTGAGAAGGAATGGTAGCGTCTATATATCAAAAATATCTTAAAATATTAAGCGTCAGTCCCTTAATAACTCTGTCAAAGAATTTTGTCCTGAGAAGGCGTCAAAAAAAAGATATTTAGATTTGAACTTTTTAGGTTATGTCTTATGTCACTTGGAAAAAGTCATGCTTCCTGTGGTTGTTTGTTGTTAGCTTAATACATAATACATAATTGAAACTTTTTAGATTATTGTATCTCTATTATATATTTGCATACTATAAATGTATATTTCTGGCATAGCTCCAGGGCCTTTTTTTCATAGTGCCATTCTCAGAAGGACTAGAACCCAGAGCCATAAAACCAGTAAAAAAAACAGTGACATTTTGTTTTAGCTAGTGTTGCCATAACATTAAATGAAATTGTTACATAATACTATGATTAAGATAATGTATTATTGTAGGAAGTTCTTTGTAAGAGACTTATTCTCAACCATATCAATTTTATTTTTATTATTACTGATAGTATAGTTATTACTAATAATATCTTAATATAAAAATATTTTGTGTGTTGTGTTGGTAGTCTTACAAAGTGTATACGAAAATAGTATGAATATACTAAATGGCAACACTTGAATAGAGTAAAATGATTTAAATCATTTGATATTCCCAAAAATGTTTGTTTTTTTCTGTGGCTTTAATTTAAATACATTTTTGTTTCAAAAATCATAGAAAAATAATAAAACTCATTTTATATATAACTTATTTCTAGACGCGATAATTTTTGTCAACTATTTTTCTGCCATTGTCCTTTATGTTTTTGATGAATTAAAAAAGTTTTGGTCCTTCATTCATCTAAGTAAATACATTTAATTTAAAGCTATGAGGATAAATACGATTAACTTGGAAGCCCAAATTGGAACAAGGAAACTATATCAGTCGAGCTAAGCATTAAACATTTAGACTAAAGCCGGAAAGCAGTACTTAGATATTAACTTTGCGCAATGTTTAATTCTGTGATCATCAATGCGCCTGCCAAGCGTGGTTAAATATCTATCTGTCTCTATCTGTCTATACTTGGAGAAGGCCATTACCCGTAGCAGACGGCCATTAGACTGTAATTATAGATCACTCTATCATTACTAAAACTCGATTGATGTGCTCCCAATAGTATGCCTAATAACCTGGCAGTTGCTTTAGCAATTTTAATATTACCATAGAACCTGCTTCTCGTCATTGAAATTCATGTACTTGAAATGGTCATTTTGACGATCATGGGACATGACTAACATTTTCCGAGTCAACCTGTATTGCGATAATTAACGTGATTGATCAAATAGCAATGTATCCATTCGAAAACGTCGAACCTAAATCCCACAATTGATGGTTAGGATTAGCATCACAAGTGCGAGGCTGTCGATGATGCGCTTACCAACTAACCCGCCCTGGTGGATAGGGTCAAATATTTTAAATTATGTATTGCGGTGACACATTTTTAAAAGGCATTTTAAATTACGAAAGGTTGTTACAAAGAAAAGAGGAGCATATTTTTTAAATAGCAAATATTTTAGCGGAAGAAGCGATGGCGAACGCGGGCGGTGGCGATACTCACACGCCCGATGAGCTGGCGGGGTTGACACCCGAGCAGGCCGAGCAACTGCGTGCCGAGTGGAGCCGCGAGCTGGCGCGCGTCGAGGACGAGATCGCCACTTTGCGCACTGTCTTACAGAGCAAGGTACGCCCGCAGTGTCATGATTCTAAACTAAGAAGTCTTAACAAAACCTTATTAATGTTACAGTCACATTTGATGACTTATGAATTGATATTGCTTACATTTCTGTTTTTCAAATTTGATATTTATAAGTACATGTAATTTTTTGTAGCAACGGATCAGTAAACTAAAGTGTCAATGGAAAGAAAAGTTCACGAGTGGCAGCCTCGTACCGATCACTATATGGAGTGACGACCTTGTAAAAGATGATCTTGGCTTAGGACCGCGCTTTATGGCACTTCTTTGAGTATAGGCCTATGTTCATTAATGAATTTATGAAGATGATGATTTTTTTTATGGATAGGTATATTTTTTTAGAGCAATGAAGTTCAAATAAATTTTCTTATAAATAGCATAATTACGTTTGGTCAGCAATTTCTTTAAATATAAAATTATAAAAGTAATACATTTACTGCATAATCAACACATTACCACGAGATTTTTACTGAGCAAAATTATATTATTTATATTACAGATTCGTCAGAGCTCGGACCTAAAAAGGAAGCTTGGCATAACAGTTTGGAAAGAAATCACCGAGGACGTTAATCAGGGTTTGAAAAACGTTAAGGAGAGCCAAGTGTAAGTTTCTAACTTACTTCAATTTTTGCATTAACATGTAAACATTATATCCACCGAATGTTTATTAGGTGATTTATTGTTTCTCGCGGGTTAGAACATCCCTTAGTCTCTTAAATTTATAACGAAAGTTTTTACGCTTGCTGTATGATTTGCTTGAGCTTTTCAGTTGTGAAGGGTAACTTTAAGTTCAGTTCCTTACTTTTGATTTCTCATTTCATTTGTTACACAACAGCTATCAAACGATAGAAACACGCGTCGCTGCGCTAACACAGGCTGTGACAGAAGCACCCATGTAAGTACGCTTGCACTCTGTCTGCTCTTATATTTCACTGTAGAATACAGATAATGTAATGGCTTAACTCGTTTGTCTTTCATACCTTGCATGTTTTAGACAGAAGAGTAGTGTAAATAGAAACATTGTTGCTTTTCTAAAACTGTTCTAACCCAGAAGAAAATATACCCTATAATTTATTTAAGTAAACCTAAGTTTCTTGTAAAAGTAGATGTGGCGTCATTTAATAAAAAAATAAATAACGTTTTTTCGGTCATCTTAAAAGGTTTTGTTGATATTCAATATTTTGCCAAATTACAATAATTCGTCTAGGCACAACATAAAAATAAATATATTATTAATAATAAAATAAAATAATAAATGATTATATATTGACAGTATTTGTAACACATATTGTATTATAAATTTCAGCTTTTGGCACTCCTCTATATATACTTTGTCAAATCTCACACTTGTCCGGGCGCACAATATGTTGAAAAAGGGTATAAGGTTTTTCTTTCACATGTAATATATGCATTTTAGTTTGTTTATCGTCTTTTTTAACATATATATTTAAGGCTCAACTAAACGAGAATACTACAAATTAACCAAAATAATATTACTAATATCACATCATATACTTTCAAGTTGAGATGAAAGACAGTATAAACTGTGTTATAACTTCGAGTTATGCGATATTCTTTTCTGTTTTTGGTTTACTTAAATTGCATTGCTCAAGTAATACAAAAAATCTTATATGTTTTTGATATTTATGTTCATGTTATCTTATGTAAACAGAAAAGTCTCAGATCTGGGGCAGCCTCAACAAACCCATAACATTGCTGCCAATGAGGGCTAATAATCTTAATCTCACGCTCGTCAGATGTCGCTTGTTGGGACTGAGGTGAACTTGTCACGCAGCTTGTTATACAGTGTCGTCATCGTTGAAAAATTGCGTTAAAAAAAATCTTCAGTCTAATATTAATACAAAACAATGCCTCAATGGTGTGTTTTTTTTTTAGGGTTCTGTACCTCAAAAGGAAAAAACGGAACCCTAAAACTTCACTTTGTTGTCCGTCTTGTCTGTCTGTCAAGGCCCTTTTTTTTTACACATTTTTAACTTTTTTAATTCTTCTTCTTTTAGGACCACTATATATTATAACTAATATTTTAAAAAGAAACATGTACATGTACACTTTTCTAACAATTTAACTTCCCCGCTATGAGATATGTCAAATATTTCACCTTACATTTATTAGTATAGGAGCAATGTACTGATAAATAAGATGTTTCTCTTTCAGTCATTTATTTTATAAACAATACTCAAAGCTTTTGGTTGTTTTTTATGAGCAGAGAAATTACTAAGTAAAATATTTTTCACTGTAATTTCTTTATCTATACTAATAATATAATAAAGCGGAAGAGTTTTTTTGTTTGTTTAAACGCTCTAATCTCTGGAACTACCAGTACGATTTGAAAAATTCTTTGAAAAATGCGTTATTATTAGGCATGGCCTATTTATCCTTACGAACGAAAGTTACTTCATCATCAAGACAATTTTATGAAGATAAACTTTGTTCTTTATACCATGTTATTTGGACGCATAGTTTAAGAGATAATGTAAAATTAAAATAATTCAATACTTGGCTGGGCGCGCGAACGTCACATAAACCCTAGCCGCCCGGTGAGAACTGCGAGAACTGCTCAACCAGGAGGGGGAGGGAAAGTGGATAAAACTTAACTTCGCTCTACATCATACATAATATGCCGACAGATAAAAGTACTCCATTAATTATGCCAATTTTTCCATCTATTGCTATCAAATAAAATATTTAATTGCAATTATAAAATGCTTGAACTAGTTCATGTCGCGCACCTCCGACACGTGATGACGCGGGTGAAACCGCGGGGCACAGCTAGTTACCTATATATTATGGGACATTATTTCAAATTAGCTATGTAAAATAACACATATTTCCATGCTATACTTTAATATTTTTTCTTTTGTCTTTATAAGATTCAACTGTGTTATCCCACACCAACTGAGAGAGATGCACTAAACTAAATTTATCAATAATTCGGAGTCGATGTCCTCCATTAAAATAAAATATAAAGCTAACTATACCATTGGTAGTGTCGTGTTACGTTAGAGAATTATAAAATTATGGAGGTTCTATCTTATGTATAATTTGGCGATAAACATTACTTTGGGCGCCAATAGTTCTTTAGTTGAGTAATTCCAGATTGATTTCGAGTCAGAGCAGAGCTATTTTACGTGCACTTGAAACATTAGTTGATCACATAATTATAAATGCTTAATCATTTTAAGACATTGTATTAAAATTAGAAGTAAAAAATGTGAATCATTAGATAAATTCAGCTTATATCGCTATTTACGATAAGTTATATCGTAGAATTTATTTCTATTACACAAAAACAGATAAGTTACCCAAGTGGCCCAATCTGTCTTATCTAATATCAATGATAGGTACCACATTTTCTTTGAAGTAACTAATGTTTTATTGCTAAGAGACTAAACTTATAATATGTTAGTTATTTGAGTTTTTACTATGCGATATGATTTCTAATACATCTAGTCCCTATAAGTGACCACGCTTCCACAGTTTTCATTGGAAAGTTAGTTGCAGCTGTCATAGGCTGCAGTATCCACATACCACCGTGGTGGATTGTTAAGGCGTTTGTCACTTTAATATTATTAAATACTAATATTTATTTTTACTTTTATAGAGTGATAGAATACATTTGGTACCACAGTAAAAACGTATTTGCTTGTACACAGTTTGGAAAGAACATTTAAAAAAAAGACAATCATTTGTATGGTTACTTTCATCAATATAAAATAGATTATTTTTGTGGACGTTAAGAATAATTTTTTTTAGGACAATTTTCTGCAAAAGCGATATACTTCCGATATATATATTTCTAATTATAAAGTATCTACGTACATATTATACACTAGCTGTGCCCGCGGCGTAGCTCGCGTATACAGGTTTTACATAAAGAATTTGTCGTTTAGGTAAGAGAATATTAAACGATTTATTTCATTACTGTATCGATAAGTGGTAACTAAATAAATCATTATCATCAAAGTTCTAAGTCGTTTATGATAGAGCTTCTGTGTAAACGACGTTAGAAGTAGGCTTAGCCGGGGTGTACACAAAAAGGTTACGGGGGCTACTAACGCGGGAAAAAGCAACATAGAGTTGGCCATGTGCAAAACAGTCAGTACTGAGGTACACTCCTACAACGCGTAAAGTTTGACCTTGCGCTTTATTTACGGTCATCGCATAACACACGCTCACTGTAACTGGGAACTGAACGCGCTTAAAACTGAAAGGAAAGTTACTTCTTAATAGAGGGTTTTTGGGCAGTGCTGCCAGATAAAAAACTCATTCAGCTCTAGGACAACACAAAAAGCGCTAGATTTCATGAAAACAGCGCTTTAAAAAAGCCCTAGATTTCGCGCTAAATTAACTACAAACAAAGTTTGTGTTTTTTTATATAATCATAATAAAGAAAACAACATTAAGTTTTTTTTTCTGGCAATATTTTTTTGATGTATCAATACTTCGCAGGACATCGACTTATAATTATGGCAATTGCTGTCAACAGTAGTTAGTACTGTACGAACAATAAAAATGTCATTAATTGTTTTCAAGTGCAATGTATTTCGCAACTTAGTTTCAGATGTCAGCATCTGATTGCGGTTGCTACACAGTTTCTTTGTGTTATAACTTCTAAGTAACTTTTAACTTAGCTGTGCTCTAAGCAACTGATTGAAACTGAATAAAGCAAAATAAATGCGTTGCCAAAACCATGAACGAAAACTTTAATAAAGGGGATTTCCCCGCTTATAGTCGTCGGTAAAAAAATCAAGTTGATCATCCTAAAGGGGAAGCCAGGAGATCCATAGCACAGAGTATCCTAGTTTGGACTCGTCTCCCATGCTCTTTGTTTTGTGGAAAAAATATGTTTGAAAAAGATAAACTGCAATGTACTATTTGTGGGAAAAAATAATGAAGGTCATTATTATTATTATCGGTAATGTGGACTAACAGTGCTGCTATAAAAGAGTTAATAACCCGCTAGTCGCTAAAATATTGAAATGTGTGCTAAATACACCAAAAAGCGCTGGATTAAGCTAGGTGCTAAAATTTCGAAATGCGCGCTATACATTCCAAAAAAGCGCTAAATCTAATTCCCAAAGCGCTAAAATGGCAGTACTGATTTTGCGTATATTATAAATACAATATCATGACATTTCGTTGCAAAATTTTTATTTTTGGTCGGGTTCCGTTGTATGGCTTCGATGGATACAAATTTCTTCAGTAAGTCTCAATACGATTCATCGGCGAAAAATCTCAACACAGCAATTCAGAAAAGTTTGTAATTTGTACAACTCCATCTATTACGTCCTTTGTGTGAGAAAACATCCTTTTTAAATCTCTTTTTGTGTTTTAAGTATATTAATTATTATGGAACGTTTTTTTTTACACACAAATCTTTTTATTACTATTTCTGAGATTTTATGGCGCCATTGAACAAATTCGAACCTACATTTCAAAATAATAATCATTACTTTAGATAGAATTAACCAATTTTAATAAAACAAAGATTAAATGTAACTCGAAGATACGCTTTATGATTTTCTTAACGATTTCTTTGAAAATAAAAGATGTTTACTTTAGACGTGATGCGTTCATATAATAACAGACAAATAGACAGACAGACAATTTTAAAAATTATAAAATGTTCTTATTTAATTATTTTCAGTTCCCAATAATGATTTTAGCCACCAAAATATATATACAATGTACAGAAAGAGACAACATGTTATCATCATTTTTATTATATGTATATATTTAAAGAGAGATGGCGCTGCTAACATCAATTCTAAAAATAAAAGAGATTAATTGACGCGATTGATACATTATATAAAACGCAAGAGAACTTATAAATCAGTGCCTGCACAGTAAGCAAAAAATAAAGTTTGACTCTCGCCAAAACCAACGCAATTGTTAATAGCTCTTTTAAAATTTGATTTACCACATAGAGTACTCGGTGGTAAAGAATAAATTGAGTTTGTCAACACGCAGTAGGGCAGCGAGTAATATAATAAAGATTAGCAGTAAATATGAAAACTCATCTACAGGAAAGAAACACATTGCAATTGCATTACATTCTCACAACACCACCATCTATCGAAGAAATGGGTTAACTATTGTGCTTCAGATTTAGTTAATAAGGTTAATATATTTTTGTATAATGTATTTAATACGCTCTTTAATACTTTTGTTTACTGCGTTTTAGATATACATAATTATATCATTATTTTACATAATTTAACTATGATTTATGATATGATATTAGTTTAAAATGCACTTGATGACTCAAACAAAGCCACGGTTGAGCAAAGTCGTACCTATACTTCCCTACCCATACTTCAGAATATTTATCATAACTTTTGATGGAATGAACTGATTTTAATGAAATAAAGACTAAATGTAACCCGAAGATACACTTTATAATTTCCTTAACAATTCTTATGATATAAATTAGTACTTTATACGTGATACGTTAACAAACAAACAGACAGACAGACAGACAGACAGACAGAAAATTCTAAAAATGGTAGAAATGTATTTAATTACTTATTTTTAGTACCCCTCAATCACTTTTATTACAAAAATATAAAATGTACAGACATCTGCTATTTACAGTTTTATTATATGTATAGATAGATAACAAAATTGTATACTACGGATGATTGATCATAGGATGTCTTTACGCAATCTGGCATCATTGGTTTTAGTTGCGGTATTAAAAAATAGTGCTAACGTGTAGATATGATATCTCAGTTAATTCAACCAAAGGTAATATTGTTGATATAATTATTACGGAAATCTCTCTCCTTTCATAAAGGGACTTTGATCCGATTCCATCAAAATCTCGGCTTACACGTGGATAACACTGCCTACCTTTGTTAAAGTTCTATGAAGTAAGCACTAGGTGAAGTTGTAGCCACATTCGGTTCTCTTTATTATCTGTAAAATTTTCCAACCTTCAACGCTATGATACACAAATCATCTTCTTCACCGGCCTGTAAGTTTGGACCGGCCTCTTTTAGTGTACATAGCTGATTTGCCTTAAACGTCGTGTTTGTGAGGCGGCTTAGGGATCGCAGTACAAAATTTCTGGCGCAATTGACGCTGCTTCCCATCACCCGTCTGAGTATTTTACTCCTGGAGTGAAGACATCGTTATACCGTCACCCATCTGAAGATCCTTCTGGCTTATTCCACATTCGCTTCTTACGACACCCACGGGATGATATAGGGTGATAGATCCTTTAACGGTACCATACGGGAAGCGTCTTGTTATCTTCATATACATTCCATTTAAGATCGTGTTCCACAATAACCAAACTGGCTAAATAATCAAAAACACACCATTATATTTATTAACTCATAGTATGGGTTGTACTTCTTTGGAATGTCCTTCTTAATGTATAAAAATGTTTCTTAAACCACTTTTTAATTTCCATGCTTGAAGGCACTACTATGTCCTGTCATATTATGCCTTCTTATTTGTTATCCTCTTAGTAAAAATAACATGATATCACTACATCATTACTTATTAGCTTTTTGAATGTTTTTACTTGCCATTTATCTCTAGCTTCAGAGAACTTCGCCATATGTACCCTTAAAACTTCTCAGTGGAAAGTTATTATATTTGGTACCAATTTCGATATAATTTGATATCAAAAACACATCAGCTTCAGGTGTTTATTCAAACGTTAATTACATTGAAGTTTTGAATCACCTGAAGTGTTTTTCTGAGAAGTTACGTATTCATACAATACGTTAAATTAAAGTAATATTCATGTATAATAATCAGTTTTTGTGTTTACTTTTATGCACCTACAGATACCAAAAAACTGAATCTGTGATAAAATCGACGGCGGAGAAGACGACCTCCATCCTGGGGGGCATCACGGCGGGCGTGTCCACCCGGCTTGGCCAGATGCGCAATTCGGATTCATTTCGCTCTATAGAAGAGCGCGTCGGCACTGCTTACGAGAACGTTAAAGTAAATATTATGATAGATAGCTTTAGAATGTTAAGATGTGAATTTTTGTTTACCTTCTATGAATTCATTATATATATACGTAAGGGCTTTCACTAATAAAAACTCAATTCTTTCAATCAAAAATCAATCCCTCAAGTAATTTTTTTACTTCTAATTTACTTCTCTGAAGAAGTAAAAATAAAATTAATTTTATGTAATTAATAGATTTAATATGTAACAAAATAAATTGCGTTTCGTAACGAATTCCTCAAATCTTGAAAATAAGAGTGTAGGTAGTACAATCAGTGCTGCCAGTGATGAAATATAGATCTAAGAAGTGGTCCTGGCTGTATGAGGAATCTTAAGGTCGCTCAGATAGCTACGGAAAGAGGAATTTGAGCTACTAAAAAATTCGTAACGAGGACATCTGCTGTAGAACCAGAATAACAAAAAAGTTTGAATCTGAGGTGGCTATATGCCGGTCATGTAGCTCAAAAAACCAACAACCGATGCGAAAGGAAGGGTTCTTAACCTCTCAGATCCCGACATTGTATCGGACCAACTCCGTCATACCCGTAGTCAGTCCAAGGTCAATAATATATTTTTTTGATTCTCAAAACAAGGTCCTGTCAACTAATGTATGGAATCTATGCGGCATTAATAACAGCGCGATTGAATAAACTACGTCGGCATCGCAGGTCGACGTAATACTTGACAAACCGTGTTACAGAAGTGTTTAATTAGTAAAAAAACAATAACAAAACATAGTATTTTAATCAATAGGTGAAAATTTCACATTTTAGAGGTTTTCAAATAACTTGACAACTTTAAGGTAGAAATGTGGTAAAAATAATTTTACAAATGAAATAATTTTGTAACAGCGCCATCTACACGATTTGTTAAGTACTACATCGACCTGCGATGTTAACGTAGTTCTCTCCAAATTTATTCATTGGTGCTGGCGAAATGTCGTAATTTGAAATAAATTTTAGGATATAACTTTTGTATAATTCTTATAAATAACATTTAAAAAAATAATTGATCTGAGGGGTCTACAAATCTGGTATGTGCGAGAACGATGTGGACCACTAGGACTACACAGATTAAGGTTTTATTCTCGCACCGGTAAGCGAAATTTAGGATGGCCCCCAAGTAGTCACTCCATCTACTAGTTTTGTAACATGCAGGAAGTTGATGGATCAGGTGTTTTTGTATTGTGTTTTGTAGCGTTAAAGTAAGTTACACCATAAAACAACAAAGAAACAGGACAGAGTAACTTTTTTTGCGCAAATGTTTGGGCAACATTTACTTGACACATTGATATAGTTTTTTTTTTATAGCAGAGGGGGCAAACGAGTTTTGACGTTGGCAAATATTATTGGTAGGTTGGCCAAGTCGTTTCGTTACGTACACGTATTAATGTAAAACACTCTGCGTCTACAATATCGCCACACCCCGATCTTTCGAACGTTTTTTTTTGCATTAGCATTGGAATTGAATTCAAAATGAAGGTGCATAATAATTTGTACGTTAAGGGTAAAGTGGCGTCGCGCTCGAACTCGACGCAGAGCTTCGACGAGGCGCTGCGCGACGCGAGCCGCGCGACCAGCGGCGCGGCGTCGCCCAGCGCGCCCACCGTGCCAGAGCACAAGGCGCTGCCCTAGTGCGCACGCCCCACTGCACGCGCACGCACACTCCACACCAGCTTCGACTCCAGCTTCGCAGCAGAACCTTCGCCAACAGTCCCCGAGATAAGGTATCTGACTGTTACGGTTTAAATCATTGAACAATTTTGAAATCTGTCATGAAATTTAATTTTTTCTTAATTTTAATTTGACATATTCACTTATTTAGTTAGAGTTAAACGACACTATTGATATGAACGGGTAAGAAATAAATTTTGTAATAATTCTTGTAAACAGTCAAATATCTTGTCACCCTACTGTCTATAAATTCCTTGCTATGAAAAGCAACTGTACCACCCTTGCAATGGATTTCATCCCTTCAGTATTAAGGGATCATTTATTAAACGGACCAGCATTTATAAACCCCACAATAATTGTTAGAAATCGTTTTAGATTATTGTGTTTTGGGTCTTATTTGTTTAGTGTGACTACTTTATTCTTTAAGTACTTAAGCTAAGCACTTCAGTATCGTATTGCGAGTCCAGTATTCAGTTGATATCGCATCTTGTGCTAAATAGTTACCGATTCGCATTAAAACATTCTTTTGTGTACATGTTTCTAATGTAATTTTTTTTTATAATTATTAATCTCAAGATACCTGTCATGCAGTTTTAAAATCCTTGAAATTATTTATTTTTTGAAAACTTGTAGAACATTATTTAGTGGGCGATTAAAACACTTATTCTCTTTATGTGTACGGCATTTTGCATAATATAAATGTGTAACATGCTTAATCCGTCTTATCTTAACCTTTGATTATATAAATATAGGAAAAGGCTGTGTAATTTGATTTTCACAAATGCAAGAGCACGGAATATTTCAACTTTTGTGTCTTAACAGCATTCCAAAGCATATTAAGTAGTTACAGTGTCTATCTATATAATATTATGAAGTTGTTTATCGCAAGGAATATGATAATAAATCACTTGTATATTATGTATATTATACTTGTTGAACTGAATAGCAAAATTGTAAATTCAAATATACGATGTGTGTGAATTTTAATACACAATCACTTGCCCAATATCTGTTATGTCCTGTTTTCAAAGTATAAAATATTTTTATAAGATGCTTAGCTTTCCTTTACTTAGAAATATTCCACTATTTACATTGAATGACTACATAACTTTTGAAATTAAATTTATGTATTAAAGGCTTTTGGTTGTTTTATTTCTGATACTACACAACACCCTCAGCAGTAACTGTGTAATGAAGCAAGGCAGATATTTTTAAATTGATTTCAATGGGAATTTCAAAAGAAAGCAAAAAAGAGATGAGGAGCAACAATCAATAAGGCATCTCTCCCCTAAGCCCTCCCAGAAGCAGGCCTCTGTTACTCTTGCTACCTGCGTGTAATTACCTACAATCGCGAGCTACCCCAGGGGTAGATCGCAGTCAGGGCTAGCGCGCTCTATACGATGGAATGTTAAAGTTTTTTTAACGCTGTTTACGTAAATAATTTTCTGTAAATACTTGTTTAAATACTCATCGAAATAGTTTTTGTTTAGTTTAGAAAATTTAATTGTAGGTTATAGTATTTAATTGTGGTAATAGTTGAAAAAGTTTTATTATAATTTAAGAATAATATATATGCATATTACCTATCTATTTGATAAATTATAATGGCAAAACGGCGTTCCTACTATAATTGTTGCGGGGATGGATGCTTAGTGAGCAATTAAAAGGATTCACATATATCATTTTTTGAGTTACCGAAGGATAATGAAAGGAAAATTTATTTAATTTTTGTTAGATAGGTACTTATAGCGAAAAAATAATTGAGTAATAATTTGACTACAGAAGTAATACCTAAGTACTTTGCAAAGAGATTTAAATATATAGGTATACGGAGCGGGCATTAGGAACATTTATATACAAAAACTTTGAGCTAGTGCGCGTGTGGCGCTTTCTAGCTAAAAATAGCAAAACAACGCTAAGCACTTATTAATAAGCTCATTTTTCTGCAGGGAGGGGCATAACGGTGGTGGTGTATGTATACTAATAAAAAATACATTAGAATATTACGAACGAACAGATATATCTTCGTTGTCCACTGAAATTATTTTTGAAATATGTGCTACTGAAATCTCTTTAAACCTGTTAATTGTTAACCTCTATTGGCCTAATAGCAAAAGGGAAATCGAAGTATTCTATTCATGTCTAGAAAAACTCTTGAATCTTATCTCAAAAAAAGATTATTCTAAGAATATTATCATAGGCGGTGACTTTAACGTGGACTTCCTAACAAATAATAGCGAAAAAAATAGGCTAATTTAATTCTATCGTATAACTTCCACCAAAAAATTAAACAACCCACCAGAATTACACCAAACAGTTCCACATGCATTGACTTACTATTCATTAATTTTAAATTAAACGATATGAAAATAGCTGTCCATCAATTTGGTCTTTCAGATCACAGTAGTTTATTAATTTCTATACCCTCTTCAACACAAAACCTAAAGCAATTTTTATTATATAAACGAATATACAACGATTTAAATATATCTAAATTCAAAAATGAAATTTCCAATATAAATTGGAATGACATACTCAAACCTAATAAAAATGTAAATGAAAATTATAGTATATTTAGTGAAATCTTACAAAGAGCTTTAAATAAATGTATACCAAAAATACTATTAAAAATAAAAAATACACCAAAGAAAAATTATTTAACAGTAGGATTAAAGACATCGTGTCAATATAAAAGATTTTTAAAGCTATTGGTTTGTAAAACCAAAAATAAAAATGTTAAATATCACTATAAACACTATTGTAAAATATTAAAAAAAGCCATCAATATATCCAAAAAATTATGTAACAAATATAAATACGAAAATTCTCAAAATAAAACTAAAACTATGTGGCAGATTATAAATAATAGACAAACAAAAATACAAGAAAATATAGAAATGTGAAACTCAAAACACCAGATAAACGTTTATTATGTGTGTTCGCGCAAAACACTTTCAAGGATTGACGCGAGAGGGCGCTCGGCGCGGTGCATTCATACCGGTTTGACTTTCGGTCGTGCGAAAAACGCTCAAGGGCAGTCAGTCGTCCTTAGGCAGTGCTCACGATTGGCACGCTGCCAATTAAGCGCGGGAACTCGGAATAATTAAGCGCGGACAGTAAAAATACGGTCTAGGAATTTTGTGGCGCGTATCCCTACTGGAGAGCTTCCCCGGGACTTATTGGGTCCGACTCAGAATCGGTATAAGTGCATTCGACAATATTAGCTAGTGCGGCCTCTGACATTCTAGAACTAACTGTTGCAACGCGAAACGGTAGCGACCTTTGGTCCAGAGGCTCCGTGTGTGTTTTGTGCGGTAACCTTATACCCCGCGATAGTTAGTGGCTTCTGTAAGTTAGTTAATCGTACGATAGAGTTAATTGACTGTCATCGTGACGAAAGAAGAAAGTGACTGTGGTCCGGCGCCGAAGCAGTCTGAAGCAGTGTGGCAGCATTTTGGAGCAGCCTGGAACTCGGCAGCAGCTGGTCGCCTATGCTTGACAAGGCCCCACACATTCACCCCTCACTGTACACTACTCTCCATCCACTATTACACACACTCACGGCCTGCCCAAGCCTTGGTGCGAAGTTAGCTTCGGATAATGGTAAGTACTATGTCCTTCTAACGTCCTCCCATCTGGTTTATTGTAATTAGGAATTTCCACGTGGCCACATTGAGGCCCGACCTACATTTGCTCGGAAAGTCTTCTGCTCATGGGCCCCAGAGGATTGGATCCTTTAAGGGAGCAGCCGTAGGCCGTAACAAACTGGTAGCAGAGCGTGGTTCCAGGTTCGATTCCCCGGTCGATCCCGACCATAGTGTTTGACAAAAATTGAACAAATCTGGTGGCAGGGAGCGTTGGTTTGATTGGTTTAATTTGTATCTACAATCACGCCCGTCCGTAATACGTAAAAATATTTTTTTGTACGTAATAATAGAATTATTTCCCTTTGTTGTTTGTTGCTTGCCTTTTTTTTTTGGTTAGTAGGTAGTTTGAAAAGCCGCGCCCTAGGTTGCGCAAGCGGGAGTTTTTCTAGAGATATACGTCATGTAGGTAGATGGTTATTTTTACGTAATCGGTTAATTATCGTTGTCGGATAGTTGTAGTGGATTACTTATCGAAGGGTGGATTTCCGAGCTAGGCATTTTTTGTTGATCGACTGTGATGTGTATCTTCGTTTATACTGTAATTTGTATTTGAACTAAAGAGTAGTAATTGTATTTGCGCAATTTGAATTTAACTTGATTTGATCGCACTAGTATTTCTTATTTGTTAATTTGATTTGTGTCTCTTCTTTTGTGCTAACTTGTATTTGGTTGATACGTAGTAATTCGTATTTGTGTAATTTCTATTCAACGCGATTTGATAGGAACTGCATTTATTAACTGTTAATTTTTGTTGTATTTTTTGTTTGTTATCTTTGTAATCCGTGCTCAAGCCGCGTCGTAATTTGCATTTAATAGTGATGACATCGCCCAAGCTACTGATCCGTTGTTTGCGGACTGAGCTACGCTGGGCCACAAGCGCCCATGCTTTGATAGGTCGACCGGATAGGGTCCATAACTTGATGAAGCAGTTCGAGCAGGTGGATGCTCGAAGGGCCGCAGTGGAGGTGGCTTACGCTGAGCTCGAGGATTCGGATGTGGAGAAGGGAGTCCTGGACTCCTGCTTCGCGGACTATGAGCAGTTCTTGTGGCTCACGGACGAGTTGATCGAGGCTGAAGGCAGGTATGCCGAGGAGGCGCGTGAAGCTCGGATGAGTGACCTGTTCGAGTCCTCTCTGAAGCAGCTTCAGCCGGAGCTGTTGGGACGACTCCCAACTCTGGACCTGCCAAAGTTCTCCGGGGTCCTTTCCGAATGGCTGACCTTCGTTGGTCTTTTCGACAGCCTAGTGGACGCCCGGAGTGACTTGACCCCGAGCCAAAAGATGGTGTACCGTCCAGGGCCTCCCCCTCCTCACT